AAACTTCCTAACAAAGTGAAAAGAGAAAATAAATTGTACATTAGTCTGATTGACTAAAACAACCCTAATATTATGTGAATTGGGTAGGATTCAACAGAATTTAGCCTACTTAGATTTTTTTTAAAAAAATATATATATACTCTTAAAAAAGTAGGGTATATTGAAATGCAAATACCTATGCAAGTTCTGATATGATAAATAGTCATGTACACTTGACATGCATGCTTTGAGAGTATGTTCACAGATGAAGAATCTCTTCGCCCCAACAGAACCACTGAGCTGCAAGTGCGACACGCAATAGCGCCATATACGTGGGAGAGGTTCATTGTCAAATTTGACACTTCAAGGAAGGGTTGGTGAAAACTGCCGCGTGCTGGTTTATCCTATCCATGTTTGCTTTCCTATCGGTTCTTGCATAAGGTTTACTATTTAACGTATCTTTGCTTTAGTGTCTTACGTTTAATTTGCAATGAGACGTCTTCAACATGATGAACGTCTACGTGCTATTTGCATGCTTCAAATGGGTTCTACACAGCGAGCAGTAGCCAACATGCTTAATGTGTCACAGTCTGTGATCAGCAGACTGTGGAACCGGTACCAACAAACACACAATGGCAAACAGGCGTCAATGGTGTAGGCAGCGTTGAAATTGAGGTAATCGGCCATGGGCGCGTGTAATGTTCTCAGATGAGTCCAGATTTACTATGGATTTCACCGATAGGCGTGCTCGAGTTTGGAGGCGTGACAGCATGACATATTCGAGCGTGGGTCTGTTATGGTGTGGGGAGGAATCACCATGACTGGCAGAACGGACTTGCATATTGTTCAAGGAAGGGTCACTGGTGTGTACTACCGTGCAGGTCGACGTTTCATCTTTCAAGATGATAATGCCCAAGCCCACCGCGCTCGTGTCGTGAATGACTACCTTTAGCGTCAACATATTGTCCATATGCCTTGGCAAGCCATGAGTACTGACCTTTCCCCTATAGAGCACGTCTGGGACATGATCGGGAGACGTGTTTGTCGACGTCAACGTCAACCGACAATACTGCAAGAATTGGCCGTGGCACTGCAAGAGGAGTGGGTCAGATTGCCCCAAATCGTGATTGGACGGTTGATTAGGAGCATGCCACGACGAATTGCTGAATGTCTGATGATTGGTGGAGCAATTACTCATTATTAAGACAAAAATTAAAACCGTCCATTTTCACTTTTGACAGTGTATCTTTTTGCGAGCGAAATTGGGCCGTCAGATAAGCCGCCCATATGAACTGTTTATGTTGATGTGTAGGCAATTGGTCTGTTATTAACATACACTGGTTACCTCTAATAAAAACAGCAGTGCATTTCCGCAGTTTTGTATTGTTTCTGAATGTCCCCTACTTTTTTGGAAGAGTATATTTCACATTCTTCAAACTTTTGTATATTTCACATTCTTCAAGCTTTTGTATATTCAACTTTTGTATATTTCACATTCTTCAAACTTTTGTATATTTTCACATTCTTCAAACTTTTGTATATTTTCACATTCTTCAAACTTTTGTATATTTCACATTCTTCAAACTTTTGTATATTTCACATTCTTCAAACTTTTTTAGATTTCACATTCAGTTATTCAAGTTGAGATTTAGAAAGATCTCTACTGAAAACGTAGCCACTATTATATAACACAATTTCATAGACCATTAGATCAAAATCAGACTTCCTTTAATGCAAGTTATTATTGTGAACAAAAGATATGATCGTAGATAACGACTGCATCCAATAATTATTAATGGCTGTTAATGACAGTTAACGTTAACGGATTTTACAAAAACCGGGTTTTTGACGTGTTTAAAATGTTTGATGTAGGATTTTATGATCAAATACTTTCAGGTTTGAGATTTTATAGCGTTAGATATTTGTTGGTTTGGAGCATTGATATTTGCGGAATAACTTTTGGGAAAATGATTTGTTCCTCTTTTAAATTATTAATTGCTAACTGATTTTCTCACCTCCTCGGAGCTCCGTCCTCTGGCCCTCGTCTTGGTGACTCGTTTGTCTTATTTTGTTTGGTCATAATTTGAATTCCTGATTACTTTGCGATAATGCAAGTAGGGAAATCCAAATCGGCCTTTTCCCAAGGACAATAATTAACGATGATTTTTATTACATTTATACTGTTATTGTTACTGCTCAACTCCCACTCGGTGCCATTTTCGTTTTTTTCCATTCTTACAGGTACGTATTACTGTATTCCTTTGGCAGTTTCTCAAATACAACAACAGCCATCATATCTGTCTGTCTTTTAACAAAACAAAAAATGTTAGCGATTGAGTAATAATGTTGTTTAGACTTACACATACTGGCATAGTGTAAAAGAAGGCGTTGTCTGGATACTTCTTAAAGAAAACTGACTGAATAAAAGAATATGTATATTTAAAGTTTAATTTTTTTCTAAATGTGATCCACATTCTGCTTTAAACCCAAACAGAAGAGGACATGAATGTGGTGGGTATACAGCCTAAGTCGTAGATCCATAATTACCTTATGTTGCGTCAGCAGATTTACAACCCCAAAATACAGATCAAAAAAGCATACTAGTATATAATTTACATGTAGGCGGTCGCATGCCCAGATCAGGTCAAGGGACACTATTATCTTTAAATAGTTTTCTACACTTTAGTGCAGTGTAAATGTGAAAAGTATAAAAAGTAAAGAAACAAAGATCAGATCTAATTTTAATCAGAGTGCTCAAGACAAAAGTTATTTATATCCAGGAATTGCAATAATAATGTTTGTATTATTAAAAACGCCATATTACGCTGTCATATTAAAGACCATATTATTAGGATCCCCCCCCCCCTTTTAATGCCTATACGAATTTCCGCTGTGTTGGTTTAGTTGTAAATCGAAGGTGTTAGGTTTTAATTGTATTTGAATATGTTTTTGTTGCATATTCTGTATAGATCTGTCTATTATTCACATACCTGTATCATTTGCTTGATAAAGACGAGAGTATCCTCGTCGAAACGTCGCTTAGTATTAAACTCAGTAATTGTGTATCCAATTACTAAATGCCAGTCAAGAAGACCAGTGTTTGTATTTTGTTGAGTGATACCTTAATGACAATGCAAATATTATATCTTAAACATAAACATTGGAGATTCTTATTTCTTATGGGTCTCTGTAATTACAAGTTATAAGTAAAATTGAACGATTTTGTGAATGACGATAGTATTAAGATATATTTATATCAAGTCTTTCTTATCTGTTAAATATGCACTAATTGCAACTTTGGGGCGTATTTATCAATCAATGAATGTAATAGATACACAGACTACCATTTAGGATTTATCTTTATTGTGGTAATTATGTATGGCATGTATGTAATGCGATACCTTGTTTTCTAATAGGTGCAAACTGCTGTAAGATGTTTGACCAATTATACCTTCCATTCTAGCGTTAGACATTTAGTGTGCCGAAACCCGTGTAATTAATCATCGTAAATGAGTTCGCAGTTCAAGGCTTTAAGATATACACTCCCGAATTCGCCTCAATCAGGGGAACGTGGGTCCAGTTTTGTATGGGACAAAATATGACCAACACACGTGTACAATGTGGGTTTAAAAGACTAATGGCAGTTAGGTTGGGAGCAGAAAGTCTAAATGCCGCTGCCTGGGTAAAGTTCAATCAGACACGATAATGTCAAAATCACCCAATTAAAATATATAGCAGAGACGCTACCCTCTCCTCCCCCTTCTAGACCATATTATTTGTTATTTCCTCGCAAGGATCAAGGGTGGGGGTGGGGGACTTTGGCAAGGGTAGCCATTCACTCCCTTCACATTTAACTTCAAATATTGTTGATCCTCACGTACTATGATAATCTTAGTAATTATCCACAGGGTCTTACTTACAGTATGATGTAGATGTGTACCTGATATATATTTATAGCTTATATCAATTACATTTATGATGAGTATCTCACAAATAGACCATCTCAACAGCTGTCTATCAGAATTCTACCTTTAACTACATCAGCATTTCTTCCCATCCTTACAGCGCACAATACAAAAATAACCGCTTCTATGTCAGTTTCTAGTAAGCATTTAGAGAGTAAATCACAGACTCCATAATTATCGTTATAATATAGCCTTATAGTAAATAAGGAATAGTTATGCAATTTAGAAGTGGAAAAATAGGTTTAGCTTAGTAGGAGCCTTTACGATCATTTATTCAACCAATGAATCGTCTAAAAAAAATCGATTATGGTGAATTACAGATTCAGATCTTTTTTATGAGATAAACCAATTAACCCAACGTGTACATAAAGTTAAAAGTGATATTCAGAAACATTTAGCTCATTAAGTTTCTTTTCGTCTTTGCCAAAAATATAAAGTCGTTTGTGCTTATATTAATTAGATAATATAGAAATTTCTTTCTTTCAACTTTAGTAATAAAGAATATAACAGAACTAGATAAAGGGGTTAATCTTTTTCCAAAATCTTTTATATAATGTGTATAATTTTGATCGTGATTTGACCTCTGTATATAAGTAAATTGATATGATCAATTCTTTAAATAGTAAATGTCAGACAAACAGCAAAGTACTTATAGGTTACAGCAAACATTACCTATTGTCTTACATACTAAAGGCTAATCTATTTATTTTAAATATTTATATGAAAAGGGTGTGATCGATTACATTCCATTACATATATTCAGGGTGTGTCTGGAATACGAATTACCACCCAAATCACACAACGAAAAACAAAACAAACGAAATATGATAGAGGGGTAATAGAATTATGTATTGAGATTGAGTAAGTTTATTCCCTTTCAGGATACAAGGCACGTCTTTCTGTTATCTCCTCTTTAAGTGACCACGCTCAAATCACCCAATTGTCGAGGATTTTTATTTGGAAAAATAAACGAAATTTGCATTATGGACTATTGAATAAGCTTTACTTATGGCATTATAAATTTATAATAATATACATTTTTTTCTTCATTTTCAGAGCAATACGACAGCGGTGGCCGCTCCGGACCGGCCTTATTATGTCATTGCTGCTATAGACGTAAGTTTATTATTACACAATATAGCTAAACACATTCTCCGAATTAAAGCAGCGTCGAGCAAGAAAATGCATCTAATTTAGCCCATATAAATCATAAAAAAAAATTCAATCTATAATATTCCATTAAAAGTGGTTGCCTAACCAGAAATGTAACTGTTAAGCAGAGTTATCTCCCTTTAATGAGGCACAACTAGGCCTATATGTTCTTAGGTTGGGATGGTCAAGTGCTCTGACTAGAGTGTAGCGCTTCGTGCTCTGCGTGGTCAGTTACCCCTGGCTTGCGGTCGTGGTTTCCCCATCCCTGGTCTGAGCGTATGTGGCTTGGAGATAGGGACGCCTTCTCAACCTTGTGGGTTTACTCCGGGTACTCTAGTTTCATCCCTATTATCTGAGCGTGCGCTTAGATAATAATAAAAGAAATAATACAATTATGTCTACAATATCACCCTCGGTGGAAGCTGGCGTTAAACACTAAGAACAACAACAACACCACTCGGGCAAGTCAAAACCACACTCTTAAATTATTCACCATACTGACACGTCAAATACATGTAAATAAATAAAAATAAATAATTTGTATTCTCATTTTCAGGCACAACCTTACGTGCGGATAGTAGACGAGGCATCTGGACGAAGACGGTTTGATGGCTTCATGATTGATATCATCAATGAAATATCCGGTCTGGTAGGATTTGATTACCGTATTCGTGCTACACCTGATGGTAGATATGGACATAAACTACCCGATGGAACTTGGACCGGTATGGTCGGAGATATCCTCCGTGGAGTAAGTTAACCGATTTATACGAAAACCACACTCCTAAAGCTAAAATGCATTTACAAAAAGCAACATTTCCCGACAAGTATCTATATATTGTAACTGGGCTCATCATATACAAGAACATTCGTCTCACTGCCCAGGATGTTTCTCAAAAGAAATCCTTTTCTCTTAATATTTTTTTTTATCATTCTGTTTGGGAATCTCTGCGGAAAAGCATACTCGAGAGCGCATATACAAATCAAGGGAGACAAATCGTTTTATTGAACATTGCTGTACATCGACGTTCTTTTCGTAGTGAAATGAGTTATTTAGATCACAATGAATATTTAAGTACAGAAGGAAATAAAAAGAAATGATGACTTTTAAATCTGATTTAATTCAATTGCCACCTCCATTATCCCGGTTGGCGCATAACACTGGAACGTTAAACTTCATTTGATTTTTATATCCTTTACAGGGAGCCGATATAGCAACGGGACCTTTACAGATTACACTTGAACGAGAAGAGGCTGTGGATTTTTCAAAACCTGTCTTGACCAGCTCCTCCCGACTTTTAGTTAAAAAACCAGAAATGCAATGGGAAGGACTCGGCATTCTTGCCCAACCATTTACTCATGAGTTGTGGTTCTTCATTTTGTTAGCCATTATCATCGTTAGTGTTTTATTCTACTTGATCTCAAGATTAAGTCCGTACTCATGGTTGAAGAAATTACCAGAAAAAGATAGAAGATTTGCTGTTGATACCTTCAACCTTAAAAACAGTTTTCTATTTGTATTTAGTACCTTAACATGGCAAGGTAGTAATCAACATTAAATAACTTTATTAAATTTTCAGTATAGGAAGGAAACGTGTGATTTATATTACCACGTTTCGATACATTGTATTCTATATACAACTGTATCTCTAAGAATAAACTATAACACATACTTATGGAAAAACAGATACGTATTTATTTGGGCGACGTTTGGAAGGGTATTCTCTCAACGTTATCAAGCTAAAACTCTAACGTGTCGTCATTGGCTACAATAACATTGGGAGTAATGAATTCCGTTGATGACTTCACAATGGCGGGAGTCGTTGAGGTATTCGGTTTGTAATACTATGTATCGTATTCCGCAGACAGCTTAAAAGTTAACGCAACGTTGATAATAGCGTTACAAATTGAACTTGATGTCAGGCTTGAGAGACATAAACCTTTCCCCTCCAAGTATGGCATTTAATAATGTTTATATCATTTTCATATCTATATAGTCTGTAGTTTTTGGCAATCCGATTAAAACAAATCGAATAAAAATAATCTGTAATCAAATCTAACCAGGTCTTAACGACTCGGTTTAACAACAATGCAGCCCATCTCAGTTGAGTTTTAATGTTTAACTTTATTTTTTACAGGTTACAGAGAAGCGCCTAGGTGTTTCTCTGGTCGTGTTCTAGCAGCCTTTTGGTGGATCTTTGCCTTTTTCATGATTATAGCTTATACTGCTAACCTTACAGCCTTTCTGTTAGTAAGACGAAATGTCATTGCCGATATGCCTTACAAGGATTATAACGATTTAATAAGACAAAATGAAGTTTCTGTCGGGGTTGTCAGAAACAGCTTTGAAGAAGGAGCTTTAGAACGCATGTCTTCAATCAGCAATTTTGAGCTTTGGGATTACGTCAAGAGAAGAAATACCTTTGTGGATACCTTAGAGGACGGTGTCCTGCAAGTTAAAGTATCTGATGGTCGTTATGCTCTACTAGTTGATTCTACAGATGGTGACTTTATTACTGGGGATAACTGTGACTTGGGCATCTTCGGAGATAAGCTCAACTCCATCAATTTGGCCTTTGCTTGCAGGAAGGGTAAGTCATCCTTATTTTAAGAGAAAAGTACTGTACATTCCTCCAGCTGTCTTGAAGTCCAAATTAATTATTTATCAACTATCTATCTACAACGGAGGATTTAAATTACATTTGATTACTATCCATTATGCAAACCATTAAGACGTCGCAAACAACTGCATCACATTTCCTTAAGGTTGGCCTTTACGATGGCCTGTAAACCTAGAATCTTGTTACTAGGTTTCAATAAAAATGCAATTTCTTGGTCATGGGGAATAATGCGAGACGTACCCAAAAAACAATTTTAATCCCATCATGTTCATAATCCCTTTGGACCAATGTCTGGAATCTATCAGCACATTATCCCATATTTAGAATATATTCCCTATCTTCGCAAACAAGAAGATCTTCTGATTATATAATCAAGATTGAACAGACAGACCCAGTTACTGAGTGATATATAGGAAAAATATAAATAGTTCTATCAAAATGTGAGCGTAATTAGCTTACGTAGTTGTTCGTAATTCAATAGATATTCTCAAGTAGTTCAAAACCACTGGTGTGCTACAGGTTATTATATTGAAGTTTCATCATTCCAGGAAGCGGCATCTGTAGCTCTTTAGATAGAGGACTGTTGTCTTTGAGGGAAACTGGTCGTGTTAAGGTTATCTACAATAAATGGTTTAGAAGTGGTGTTTGTGCCAAGGATGACACAGGAAATGTTATTACGGGCACCGATCCAGCACCTTTCAATGTTTACTCCCTTTCCTACCGAGAGTTGTCCATAGCCTTGATTCTCCTCTTCCTGGGAGCACTAGTCGCCTTTGCCATCCTCATCGGAGAGATAATCTTTGTTCGTCTCCGGGAAAAGGTAAATTTTCATTTTATATACAAAGGTACTATTCAAAAGTAACCCGTAATTGAGTTTTCTACAAAAGATATGGCCCATGGTCATCGGTATTGGGCGACGAACATAATTAATTACTCTAGGATCTCTCTGTAATTCATTCTACTATTTAACAAAACAACATAGCAATTTATTATAATCAAACGTTTTTGATATTGTGCAGAAAGCAACAGATAAAGCCACCAACCAACAAGCTGAAGATGACGTAGAGAAGCAAGAGTTGAAAGAGACAGAGGGCAGCCCCCCACAAGATGACGCAAGTCCTGTTGAACCACAAGAAGAAGAGACCAAACTAGTAACATCCGATGAACAAACAACAGAACCAGCAGCAGCAACACCAGAAACTCGACCTGCTGATGCTCAGTAATAGTTCAATAGACTAAAAAAAGCAGTTTTAATTTTCATTTTCTTCATTATCTTTTCTTAAAATAATAACAAAAGAAGGAGATCAAAGAGGACATTTTGCTGAGATAAAGATTTCTCGAGAAGTTCAAGCATTTCCTTCTTTTGAGATAGACATTTAAAGCGCTGGATTAAATGTATTTTTGCTCACCGAAGTCTTTCTTAATTTTCAGTGTTATGTTGTTCTCTATTTTTCTAAACCGAGTCTTCTCTCGGCAAACTGTCTTTTTTGATGTTGTTGTGTATGGAGGTAACTAATAATATTGAAACATTGTTCATTGTTAAGCTCAGTCTGAATTGGAAACGGTTAATTAACATGACTTACAGGAACGTGCATTGTGAGAGTCGTTAAATACGAAAGAACATTAAATTCAAAATGTTGACTCCCCGATACAAAGGGCAATGATTGCTGAATGTCATATCATCTTGTGCACTGAATACTAGAGCTAATATGTGTACAATATGGTTATAATGATAATACCTACATGTATATTTGCAAATAATATTAATATATATGGTGCTATTTTATATCGGAGCTATATTTATAAAAACTAGAATATTTATCCAATCGATCTATATACTCTTTTGTGTTATGTCATCTAATTCCCATACGTAATTATGGGATGTTGCAAAATAGAAGAATAGTTCACAGAAATCTATACTTGAAAAGCCGAAAAGGGGGATAACCTTACAAGTTGATAAGGGGAGGTAACCCTACAAGTTACCGTGATTCGAAATAAATAAAACAATGAATAAATCCATCTGTGTAAAATGCAACTAAACAGTATTTATTTTCTTTTTAAAATTTAATTTATATATTATACACTTTGTTGTACAGACTTCTATTTTAGTTTGTTTTAAAATTCATTAGTTAACTGTGGTGTGCTTGTTTGTTGATGTAAATATATTATATATATATATACTAATCAGATATTTTATTTGTCCGTTTCTTATAATAAAGTGTGATTACTGTCTTTAATGGATAACTTAAAATTTACAAAATCTCAGTAACTTTTCTATTAATACGGTGACATAAAGTGAGTGATTCCGTTGAGTTTGGGCTGAATAATTAGTGATTAGTTTAAAGGAAATAAAAACTTCTTTAAGCTGTCAAATGTAAATAAATAACAAAAGTGAAATGAAATTTAATTAGCAAGAATAAGTACAAATTCAAATTATCTGACATCAATTATCATTCGTTTTCTTTGAGCGTTATAGAAATCTTATTTTGTTAACAAACCTATTTTGATTTATTAGTATTCTTTTATAGTATTCAGATGAATATGGAGTTTGTATTGTGATGTTTAACTTCCTTATACGAACTCAATAAAACACGTTCATTGCCACCAAAATACTTGTTGGTCAGTTTATTCTCTACGGAGAGGGTGTGCCGGGAGTGATGAGGGCATGGTTTATGCAATGGTTTAAATTGATATAAATAGGAGCTGTTGGGGGTTGTGGAAGATGAGATGCTTCAGTGGGCGGAGATTGTACCATGGCTCAACAAATCAATTTGAATACACCGAAACCAACATTATTGGTTGATTAAGTTAGTGTTTGTATTGGTGAAAAATGTTTTACTGCCCAGGGACCGGTTGCTCAAAACAAAGTTATCTTGGTAACATGGCGCCTCTTAACGGTCCATTCAATTTCTATTACTGGAAAGTCAATTTCGTTATCCATTAGCTAATGGACTGATTAAAGTTAATCCAAGAGAAGATTGATTGTTCATTGGCTGAATTTTAAATTTTCAAATTCAATGTACATGTATAACAAATTCATAGAAGTTAGTATTAACAAGAAACTGAAGACAATGGGACAACTGTACAGTTTGTTCACAAAACTTGATTTAAGACAAAAAGATAACTAGAATTTACTACAGAAAACACTATAAAAGAAAATGTAGAATATTTTATTTTTTCCTTTAGAAATTTTAGCATAAATCTGTAGGAAAAATTATGGAATTCGCACTACAGAAACTGTAGAATATTTGGGCCATTATTTCCTATTGGCCCTCAAAATTCTGTAGAATACTATAGAATTTCATCCTACAGAAAATGGAATAGGCCCCCATCGCCCAACCCTCTAGAATGTTGTATAGAAGATTACACTGGTAATCTATGACTTTTTGCTTAAGGGTATACTTGGACTGACAGCCGACTAATGCCATCGTTAGACAGATAACGGAGCCCAACACCCCCGTTAAATATAACGGCAAGTTAAAGACATTGTAAAGTTAAAGGGGCTACCAGCAACAGACTTTCTCTCCGTTAAAGACAACGATCCATTAACTCCATGTTAACGAGTCGTTAAAAGTTAACGGAGCTTTGAACAACAGGCCTCAGTACGCCGCTGTGAGTTAATCCATTTCTAATAAATGAAATGAAATGAAATGGGGTTTAACGTTCTACTGTTCTGCTCCGAACTGGGATCATGAAGACGGGCATGCGCCATACAGTGTGCTATGAGGGAAATTTTGCGCGGACAGCGGCACTACGGCCTACTCTTATATCGAATTCCAACTGTCAAGGGATCTTTTACGTGCACGCCTATGTGTACACGGGACCTCGGTTTTTCGTCCCATCCGAACGACTAGACAGCTGTCCTTGTCAGGCATGATGACAGAGTACAGAGTTGAAATTGCAACTTTTCTCTTCTACTTATCCTTTCTGGTACTTTGACCCCTCTACCTTATACTTCCATTTGTAGATATTTGAAAGTCAAACTCACATGGCAAATATTTTATTAACTAACGCTACGCAGAGAGCACCTTAGTATTGTTTTATATTGCATTGGCAGGGGCATAAGCATCTAGGTCCAGTTAGTGTAAATTTGCATTATCTGTCTCATATTCGTGTATATTCATGTTTTTTTGACAAACAAACGTGCGAAGCATTGTCGACGTTTTGCCCTCAGCCCACTTTATTGTTTCAGAGCTTCTGATTTGACAAAATTTTCGGAAAATCCCCTAGACCTTGCGCCAAACTTGACGTTTGTCTCCACCTTGGATCCCCGTTGCTCAGATTCCTGAACACGCCCTTGTCTAAGCTGTCAAATATTTATTTGCCTAAATAAAGCTGTGATAAATAAACGTTTTCCTTCAATAGAAAGGAAAAACACTTTATAATTATACGCATCCCTTCTGCCTCTAATGATTTAATATGTATCAACAGAACAATAATAGTCATCTAACATCTAAACATGACGTGTTAATTATCTGCTAATTGATCTATTTTCTTCAACTCTTTATCAATATGTATTATTATCATAGTATCAACAACATTGTACTAGTAATATTTCGCTACGTTACGATGTAATTAAAGCTATTAATTGAAAGACACGCAAAATTTTTCAAAAATAGACTGCCGGAAACGCTCTACAACATGAAAGTTTATGACTGAGTATGGATGTGGGATTTATTCACCGTAGAAGGTATTGATTACCGAAACGTATCACATATACTTTTTTTTTATTTTTCTAAAATTATTGGGGGGGGGGGGGCAAAAAGAGGGCAGACCAGATTAATGGGGGGGGGGCGCCCCCTTGCCCTCCCCCCTGGCGCCGCCACTGAACCCGAAAGACTAAATACTTTTCCCTTCCATCCCCACCCTACCCGCGTCCTGCACAACTGACAAGGTGGTACGACGCTGGAAAAGTCCGAAGTAAATTTTTATCTAGCATGGGGACAAAAATAAACTTCTTGGGTACAGACCTCGGTTATTTAAACTCCGGCATAGTTTATCAAGCAAGCTACTTTTCTGCACCGATACAGGGAAATTTTGTGCAAGCAGCGGCTCCACGGCCTACTTTTTTTTTTAAAAATTCCAACTGACAAAGGTTCCATTACGTGCACACCACCATACAATGGACCTTGGTGGAGCCATGTTGGACGCAGACCTTCTGGTTAGTGAACCAGCGATATCATTACTCCTAGTTTTTGGTAAAAGTCATGGAGATTTGAAATTGGGGTGTGACCAAGAAAAAGCTTAAGCGTATTCCGTAAAAGAAATTTGCCCTTACAGCATCGCAGTGTGATGTACATACGAAGTCTAAAAAGAACATCCTATCTGTGTAATTTTCAGGTATGACAAGCAAAATCAAATGTTAAATATTTGCTCCCTCGCCTCGCCTCGTCGAGATTATAAAATGGTCACAATAGGCTTCCATACTTAACCGACGAAAGCTTGTTTATGGGCGACTGCCAAGGCGACAAGTCTCGGCACGACAAAGCGAAATAATTGTATTTTGTCGACTTGTCGATTTGTCGGGTTGTAAATTTGTCGACTTGTCGGATTGCGAATAAATCGAAAACGACAAGTCAACAGAAACTGACCGGACACGTCGACAGAATTGACCGGACAGGTCGACAATATGTCGCGTTGTCAGGTTAATTTTGTCGACTTGTCACCTTCACAACCCAACAAGTCGACAAGTCGACAAAATACAATTATCTCGACTTGGCGTGCCGCGACTTGTCGCCTTCACAACCCGACAATCGAGAATATGGAATGGCCGCTAACAGCCACCATACCATGGTTTAATTTTTTAACATTTATTTCTTGTTACACTGATTGTCTTTCTCTCTACTAAAGCTTTGAACTAAAATACAACATAAACCGTTATAGCCAATTAGCCAATATATTCCAGAGTCTTCGTCATTACAATCACGAATGTTTGGCCTAATTCCAATCAATAGTGATGCTGATACCGTAAACATGTTAGATCATGATATCCGATATTTAGGACAAAGTGAAACATTTCAAAACCAGTAAACGCAATGCCCTGAGCGTGATTTTTAATGAGGCTTCTTGGTGAGGGCTTGAACGAAATTTCAAACCGTATTTTCGATGTTGCCTGGACTAACTAAGCGCGAGGGACTGTATTATTCAATTTGGACTGGTTGTGTATTTCAACGAACCAAGCTTATTAGAAATTACAATAAAAATTTACAAAAATGATTATAAATCAGTTTACATACAGTTGTATTGATATGGTCTTATTGACCTATTGTCTTCCATTTTGGGTTTGGAAGAATAGAGAATTGCCGCCATTAAATTATGGGAATATTAGACTTACCTGTGCGCACTGAAGCATTAACAAAGTTATAGGTGGGTGTAATGTTAAAGTACGACAAAAGCTGTACGAAATAAATATCGAAAGTCAAAAAGGTAAAATCCAGAGAATAGCGAGTAAATATATATCTGCATAATCAATATTTTGATAAGTAGTATCAGATTTTTCGGGATGCAACATTAAAGATATATTTCATAGACAGTTGTAATCCGAAATACTTGATATTTCAATGAACGTCCTTTCGACAATCAATACATATCACGTAGCAGTTAGTGAAGCGCTGACAAGATGACACCTGAACGAAAAAGAAATCAAATGAGATTTAATGCCCTATTTTGCTGCACTAACGGGGATAATTAAGAAGGACATACGCCATGTAGTATGTCACGAGGATTATTTTGCCTGGACAGCGATATATCGTCTGCTTTTCATCGAATTCCAACTATCAAGGTCAGTAAAATGGCTATATTCATACGAAGAGAATTAAAGATGGAGGCGCGGAACTAACAGAAACCAACCCTAATAGTGTATAATTTAGAATTAATTGATTACACTAATTTTTGGATATATTTCTTTAAGTATTGCGTCTTTAGTACAGGAATAGTCGTTAGCTAATCCACGAAGTTTAATCAATCTAGTGGGCTGACTACACCATAATTATATTCTTCTAAATAAATCTATGCGTTCAATGTACTTTACAGATAACTTTTAGAAAAAAAAATGCTCTAAAGGTATATTACATTCTTTGTGTTTGCTAATACGGTCTATTACAATATCATCTTATCTAAAATATTATATTAATCACAAGGTTCTAAATTAATATAATTATATACAATTAAAATGATTGCGAGATTTCTACCTGTTACTATACCAACTGCAATGACCCATATTGATCACACCACCCTTGTAGCACCGCCTTGATTATAATACATAGAGCTGATAGGTTTCTGTATTAAAGTTTATAATCCAGAAAATCTTTGTAGAAAATATTATAATTATACTTTCGACTAGTTTTTATCTAAGATAATCATAACAACCTGTAATACAGTTGACAAGCCGTATAATTATTTCCTTACCACCAGAAGTGGTGATTTTGAATTTGCAAACATAATAAGCAGGAGAGTTTTTGTTTTTGTGCTTTCATCGTTTATTTATGTATTTCCTTTTAAGCGTAGCGTAACGTATGCGAAATTAATGGTCGGGAAGATTAACGGAAGCATTTTATCATATGACTATATAATTTTGAGTAGATTGGGTTTCAACAACAAGTTTCTTAGTGCATTTATAAAAGGGTTTTTATTATAATATTGGTGGAAATATTCACAGAGATCCCAGATTATATCAACAAGACATGCGGCTTACAAACTGGTAAGACAACAAAACACCTTTTAAATAAATATTAAAATGACCAAGTACACTATTATTGATATATTAGTAATAATCATCAGTAGTCTCATTTTAAACTTGATCACGTTAAAAAAGCAAGATAAGCAAAAGTTATTTGATTGGCGACTCAGTTAAATATGGAACGTTATTTATAGTTTCTGGGAACTTTTAACTGTCTCTATAATTACCTAAATGTATGGTGTGTTTAGTAATATGACAATAATTTAATTCATCTACTAAATATCATTTAGCATTCAGCTTAATACATGGATACTTGTTTACTCTACATTAAATGACCGCTTTATAGGGACTTCTGATGCGTGGCAAACTTAAATTAAAATTGCAAAAACAGGGACATTTACAACGACATTTACGTCTGCATTTTAAACATTTTACGGTACTCATTTACACCCTAATTGTTCTGTTGGACCATACACGGCCTCGTATTTTCTTCGTTGTGGGTGTCGCGTGCACGACAGTATATGCTTAGTCTTTATTGAATTCGTATTACACTTTCCATTATAAAATGTTTGTCAACCGCAGTGACTCCTGGTTATATTTGCCCACAGTATTTGAACAGTGGTTAAACTGGAGTGTGGTTTTTGAAAATGGTTTTAGCCCAAGCTACACATATATGAAAGTGAAATTCTCTCTATTTTGTTCAGAAATCGCAGTTGGATAACTTCAAGAATAACTAGCTTTACTTGATATTTTCTGTGATATTTTCTACACAGCAGCTATAAGCTATCTAACATAATATTAGCAAGCCACTGCGTTTCCATTTTGAGTAGTAGTAAACCTCGCATAAGTCGGATTCGTATCAGTCGGATCTTCGCTCAACTCGGATAAAATCGTTTGGACCCTTTGATCTAATTCCGGCTTTTTTCCTTCACCTAAGTCGGATCGGCAGTATGTTCAGAATTTCACTGTCAGTTTCGTCCCGATGGTCTAAAACGCGATTAGGTACAAATCAGCCTATTTGACGCGACGCAATAATAGAATTTTCCCGGAAAATTCGAAACTTGCTGTCAGCTGTATGAGACACTTTCCAGGAAAATTTAGGACATATTTTAAAGATGGCGACAAAACGGAAGTTATCTACTCGCACCAAAACGGCAGTTATCTACTCGCACATATGAACAAAGGCTTGAAATGTGCCTTTGAATCAATTATTATCCGGCTCTTGCAGTTTATTTCTAATCGAGCTAAGATTGAATTTCGGTCTTTGGCTGACTCGGATCTTCGCTTAACTCGGATAAAATTGGTCAATCTACTTACATCCGACTTATGCGAAGTTTACTGTAAAATAAAACGAAGTTTATGTTCCATGTGTCATTGAATTTATAGCTGCCAGTCAGTTGACCTAACGAATAACAAGTAAATAGTTTCCCACGACTTTGGTTGCCGTCTGAATCAATCTCGATACTTGAAATAAAAAACCGATAAAGATAAGGAATGAAATAAAATCGACTATAATCTTGCTGATCTGATATTGATATTTCTGTTAAAAATATTATTTCTATAATACTGTTATTTTTGTTTACTGATTTCTGAGTTAACCAGAGAGTACCGGGTTCGCTGCTGGTGTTGGCGGAGGGCCTGGCAGAGAACACGTAAAAGAACCCTAGACAGTTGGATTAAAAATACGAGTAGGCCACAGTTGGATTCCTTCTCTCATGCACCAAATGCTTCACACCAAAACTCTGCCTTAAACTAAATTAACCAGGCCTTAAAGATTTACATACAAAATAAGGGTGAAAAATTAAATTGTTTTGGTTTGTTATGACAACGGGCTTGGTTCTACAGTACAATGGCGATAATATTTGGACCATTCTATAAGCTGCAGGAACAATATATCAAATCTTTGTTTCAAGCGATCTATACTTGTCCAATTGTATCGATTGTATCTACGATAGTAAGTATGGAACCAGGTTGATCTGGAAAAGCTCTATACAATTCAATTGTTTTGAAAATGTAAGCGGAAGTCGATTTGTTTACTAATTTTACTGTTTTGTACACAGACTGGCTTAGATCTCATTTCAGAGAACAAATCCATTGAAATCAACATTTTTATTATTGACCCTTGTCAAAGAGTTCATTAGCCCGGGTGACGAGGAAAGTAGGACGTTAAACCCAATTTCATTTCAAATAATTTCTCATCACTGGCTATTTTATGTTTCATATTCACGTCTTACGATAAATCCGCATACCACGATTTCTTTCGCTTTTATTCGATTTGGCAGGATTCAATAGCTCGACTGATATTTCATTTTAGTTATTCGATTGATGCTGATGGGATTCCGTTTTTAAACCTACCCAATAGCCGAAATACTATAGTTTACATAAAAATAACAGTTTCATTCTTTTTTAGGTGTCACATTTGGCTATATGTACCTTACTGTTTTTTCCCCCGAGATGACAATCTGTCTTTTTTTATAATTTTACACTCGTACACAAAGCCACAGTTGAAGTATAGGTCACATTCATATAATAATCTAAGAATGGAATGATAATTAATTAAACAATATACCAACTTTAGTTTGATCTTTAATAAAAGCACTTTATTTTGAACCACAGTTAAGCCCATCGCACCCTGGACCCTGTTTAAATCCAGAACCCTCCCAAATATATATTAACTACATTTAGTGATAAAAGAAATCAAGAATATTAATAAACTTAGAGGATTAGCTAAATACACCACAGGACAAAAATAATGGAAATAAAATCTATCAACTTTTACTTTAATAGTCTATCCAGTCAGTTCGATGCGATGCCCTACACAATCCATATACATATGTACTTACTTTGTTGCACTGAATGGGATCAAAACGAAGCATCGATACATTTTTTACGTCATGTATATAGACAAGATGCTATCTGTTCTAAACGTTCCTATAATCTATCAATATAAAGATTGAAATAAAACTAACAAAATGTTTTCTTATAGATTATCTACGTATAGGTAATAATGAAGTCAACAGAAGAAAAAAATCAATTGAACAGCCACGGTGTTATTAAAAAGGTGTGAAAATGTATCGGACTTAATATTGCTTCTTGGAATCGAGTTAAAACGCAAGAAGAAGACGATGTGTGTGTTTATGTTTAAGTGGTTTGCTCTTATAATAAGTGTCCGTGCCACCGAAGACCTCTATTTGATGGGGTTATTCCCAGTGGAAGGGGGAGCCTGGCGGGGAGGACATGCTATGTTAGCATCTGCTAAAATAGCTATAGAACATGTTAACCTCCGTGATGACATCTTGCCAGGATACAGGTTGAATCTGGTCTGGAATGATACTCTGGTAAGTAAATTTTATATTATATAAAATCCGCAGGACACCTAGGTAATTATCACCTTGGGTAAGACAGGATGTACGATGACTAACTAGAAGTAGTAATAATAAACTGATATTTAATAAGATATAGGGCAATGATTATCTAATTCATAATTTCACATTATTGTTTCTTTATTTTCTTGGAGGGGCGGGGACGGGGGCTTGTAACAATTGCTATTGTAGTTTGACTAATTGCAGTATAATAATAAAACAGTATAACGAAATATTCTCGCTAGGTTGGAATATGCGTATATTTTTTACATTCCCTTTCTTTGAACACTTGCATCGGGAACCATGCTCCGTTTTTAATAAACAAAACAATCCATTTAGCACTCTAAAATGTAATGTCAGCGATACAAAATATTCGAAATTCTAATTTGAAGCAATGATTTAGTATTGAAATGTTTTATATGTATCATTTTTGTTTCAGTGTAATCCAGGCAGAGGAATTAAGGCTATGTATGATAGTTTATATACACCACCAACTAAAATCATCCTTATGGGTGCTGCTTGCTCACCAGTTAGTGAAGCTACAGCTCAAGCTTCTCACTTGTGGAACCTTGTACAGGTAAATTTCATGATATATTCATACTTTGTTGCATATCAAAGGGTTCATTAATGTAAAAAAAAAAGAAAAGAATAGGTGAATTCAGATAACCTGATAACCTGGGAATACTCTTCGAAACAAACGTCGCCCAAATGTATTAATAGCTTCTTTTCTATAAGTATGTGTTATAGTTTATTAAATGAAATTGTAAAAACGGGCGGACTTATGGATAATATTCACTAAACGTCCATTAAAGATATTGCATGGAACTGGCATGGTATCTGCCAATGCTGAGTAACATAATATTATAGAACGTCATGTTGTCCTTATTGGTAATTTCTTTAATATTCTTTTTATAAACTCGTAAGAGAAATGGTAAAGCCACGTTGTTTCTTGACTCGTGATAGGAAAGCAGTATCTAGTTTCTGCAAATTCTGAGTAATATATCAAGTAGGACATCATGTTGTCATTATTGGTAATTGCATTTAAAAAGTAAAATCGCCAGGGAAATCATATCTTAATAATCGCTACATATGAACCTGAAATGAAATGAAACTTAATTTCCATTTTTGTTTTATTTAGCTATTATTAAGATATGAAGCCAAGTTCATATTTCTTGACGATACGAAACATTAAGAACTTTATATTACTACAATTGTCAAGGAAGAGTTTTCGCACATTAAAAGATTATATAGAAACTTTTATGAATTAAGTACACAGAAAACAATCTTGGTAGTCACAGACAACGACACTATCTGGTACTATTTATTTAGAAAAAAATGATAAAATCATCAACAATGTCAATAAGGCAGTCTTTTCTGAAAGATTTCTTACAAATGCCGTGGGCTTATTCACCATTTGTGTCAACAGGCTTATCAGTTTAATCATCGTTTGGCAGCAATATATCGATACATACAATGACGTTATCTGAGGGTTATATATTTTCTCATCGTTATTCTTATAGGATTAATGTTCCCGTATGATTGGGCGGAACCAACAAACCAATTTTGTTTTATTTAGTATGCAATCTATTATATCGGTCTACAGGTCAAAGATATTTAAATAAATAATATATTAATTTCCTTAATAAATCATCTAATGAGCCGAGGTCAGTCCTAGCAATATAACCTACCAAATGTTTACTTGAAATGACGTCACTGTGATGTAGAAAGTATGTAGTGTAAAAAAAAACCCGGCACAACCCAAAATGTTTGTAAAGATTGGCCACGGTCATGATTGACACAAAACATGAAACAGTACTGTATTTCAAAATTACAGGTATACACACGTATTTACTCTTCGCATAAACGCAAGTGGGCACAGAAACTATTTTGGAAATCCATTGACAGTTTTCAAAAAAGACGAAAACGTCCACGTAACCTTGCTTTCTGGAAAGAGTTCATGCACCACGTTGCCTGGTTACAAAATTACGTTATCATGACAATTGGTAAGCGGAAGGAACCTCAGGAAACTGAGACTAGTAGTCTAACAGACAGTTTTTTTTAAATGCATATGACAAATTGTTAGCTATTACAACTTCACAAATACATGATGCATTCTAGAAAAAAATGACTATACCCGAATCGTGTAGGACATCTATCTAGATATTCTGTTGGAGCAATATATTCAAACTGAGTTTCAGACGACGGTACCAAGGTTACAATGGAAATGTGCAGTGATGCTGTACACCAATCTCATGTTTTAAGAAAACGAATTCCCTTCTTTCGGACCCGCCACTGCCTTCCCAACAACATAACAAATGAAATAATTTAAATTATCGCCTTAGTGTTTTTAAGATTTAGGAATTCGGCCACCATATGGCATAACAGATACTAATACCCTATAGTATTTATCTTATAAGTAAGAATAACCTTATAACATTTCTCTAGTTTATGATCCCTTAATAAGATGCTTTATAGTCGTACCGACTATTATGGAGCTGTTATCTGAAGTATCTGTTTCGTTAGTTGATGAAGGTACGTGAAAGTGATACCCATCTTTTGATTAATAGTTCACATTACTTGTCCCCACCTAGGTTAATGCCAGATAATTGATAAAATACTATGACGCATTATAACTACAATTCGTGGTTAAAGAGGACCAATCTCTTACTTAATATTTCCATAACATTCTAAATTAAACAATTATAATTAAATATTGGTCTATTTCAATAAATATTGATGCTGTAAACTTGCCGTTAAAATATGGGATCCTGATATCCTATATTTAAGACACGATGAATATTTTATAATCCGAACGGCAGTCAATACGAGTCGTGTATTTTATGGTTTCAAGCTCCAAAGAAGAACATAATTTATCCTACAGGATAATGCGGAAGTAATGATTACTAACGACTGCTTCACAAACCACAAAATGATATAAACAACCGTGTAGAATGGACTTAGCTGGGGTAAACGACTATCGTTCACGTATTTCACCGAACATAATTGATTAGAAATTACAACAAAATTGTTAACAATTTAATATAAATCACTTTATATGCAATCATATTACATTAATATGTGCTGTTAGACCCATTTCCGTCTATTTTAAGGTTACACGGAATAGAGCCACGGTGGCTAAGTGGGTATGGCGCTGGCTCGCTAGCCTGAAGGTCGGGTGTTCGATCCCTGCATTGGCCGAGAAAGTTCATCCAGATTTTCCGGCGTGGTTCTCCCTTGTCAGTGATGCAGGACGGAGGGGCTGACAAGGACAGCTGTCTAGTCGTTCGGATGGGACGAAAAACCGAGGTCCCGTGTACACATTGGCGTGCACATAAAAGATCCGTTGACAGTTGGAATTCGATATAAGAGTAGGCCATAGTGCCGCTGTCCGGGCAAAATTTCCCTCATAGCACACTGTATGGCGTATGCCCGTCTTCATTAGCCCAGTTCGGAGCAAAACAGTAGGACGTTAAACCCCATTTCATTTCATTTCATTTCGTTAATGCCTAGGTAATGGGGACCTATCAGACTTTCCTCATACACCAGTCCTATTGTAACAATAATTGATACTGCTTCAAATCTAGATACGCGTTAAACTACTTAAAATGGGATTCTTAACATTGAACGTAACAACCGTCACAAATATCACGCCCTTACATACATGTTTAATTGGAAACTCATAATATAAACAAAGGATGCACTGAAGCATGCCGACATATAATTCACCTATTGCTGCGTACGTAACCAACGATCGAAAACTACATAATAGCTAGCTGTATTTTGCAGCTAGGGTGTCTCTTGTGTTCAGAATGATATTTCTGTTATCCACATCCAACTGCCAAATTTATGTCACAATTAAGGCACGTTAATGTTATTTTTATTTTGGTCACTCGATATAAATACATATGATTTTAAATGACCTGCAAAATATACACAAAATACAGATAACAATGTTACGGGTAATAATATGATACATAATACACGTACACTACTTTTAAAGAAAGCAGTTCATTTACGAATATTGCTCATAATTGAACTAATCAATATGTTAATGAGGTCATCTATTGTATCACCATTTTACGTCTGATTTGGGTGTTCAAGTGTCTGAAGTTGGTCTTCTTGTCTTTTGTTAAACCGCCAATGAAGCATGCCGACATATAATTCACCTATTGCTGCGTACGTAACCAACGATCGAAAACTACATAATAGCTAGCTGTATTTTGCAGCTAGGGTGTCTCTTGTGTTCAGAATGATATTTCTGTTATCCACATCCAACTGCCAAATTTATGTCACAATTAAGGCACGTTAATGTTATTTTTATTTTGGTCACTCGATATAAATACATATGATTTTAAATGACCTGCAAAATATACACAAAATACAGATAACAATGTTACGGGTAATAATATGATACATAATACACGTACACTACTTTTAAAGAAAGCAGTTCATTTACGAATATTGCTCATAATTGAACTAATCAATATGTTAATGAGGTCATCTATTGTATCACCATTTTACGTCTGATTTGGGTGTTCAAGTGTCTGAAGTTGGTCTTCTTGTCTTTTGTTAAACCGCCAATGATAAAAGAAAGTCAGATAAGCCCACGAAAACACTACATGACGATTCGAAATACAAAAATCCATCGAATATCTCGAATATCAGATCAGTGTATAATGATAAAAGAAAGTCCGATAAGCCCACGAAAACATTACACGACGATTCTAAATACTAAAATCCATCGAATATCTCGAATATCAGATCAGTGTATTAGATATGATTTTACAGCATCGCCTGCTGCTGCATGTAATGACTTTGTCTTATCTCGAACGTTAGAATTTGAAATATCAAAATTATGCCAGGGTAGTACTATATAACCAATTCGAATCGTGATTCTCAGTCTCCATGAAATCTGTATGGGATCTAAATTCTTTAATTTGCATCAGGTGTTTTACATTATACATAGTTTGCTTTTGTATAGAAAATAATTGTGATGGTAGAATTTCAATTTTTATCTTATTTGAAATTATCTATGAGAACTTAAACGTGTCAGATTTTGTGAGAATTAATTGAACTATAACATTTAAGGGTGTTGGATGGCCGAATGGTTAGCGCGTTCCCGTTGTATCATAACGTCTGTCATTGAGTCATCTGGCGTGGTTTCGATTCCCCGGTTGTACGTGACAATCAGTAGGGTCGCCTGTCCAACTTCGTGGGTTTTCTCCTGGTCCTCCTGTTTCCTCTCACTGCTAAAGACCCCTACGCGCATATGTTAGTCCCGAAATGACCTAGTTTGTGTCGAGTGGACGTTACCCCCCCCCCCTCTCTCTCTCTGTGTCTCTTCTCTCTCTAACATTTTAAAAGAATAAATGAACTCCAGTAGACAAGTAAGCCTTATGGGCCTGTCACACTATAACGTTTTAGACAACTTATTCCGACGTATGACATAATTATCCAACACGCTGGCATACGCTGAAGCTGAATTTAAAAATCAAGACGACGCTCTTTTCGGAAGCATATATAACGTACTTCTAACGCGCTGAACGAATATATAACTTATGTTTAATGTATGAGCAACTTATTCATAACTTATCCCCAACGTAAACATAATTTATACGAGCATATGACAGCGTGTGCCCAGCGAATTTTTAGCGTTCTTGACTTATGCGGAACTCATGCACAACGTTAGTCTAACTTATGCCTAACTTATGCATAGCGTGTTGGAGTGTAACCTACTTCGACGACCATGTGACGTCAGATATAAAAGCGGAGGCAGTAGAACCACAACTGTCTACGATATCACCTATGGTGTAAGTGGACGTAAAACTTTTTTTGACGTTGATCGATCAACATGCCTCCAAAGGAAAGTTGCAGGAAGGGGCCGACCTAAGCAATTTTCATCCTTACCACCTCCACGCCCACCCTCGTCCCCATCTTCATAGCTCACCACCATTCCGACGATGATAACCATACGTCGGCATACGCTGATGCTATACGTCAATGTGTGACAGCCCCATTAAAACCTCAAAAGATTTATTACCAGGATTTATTACACGAATGAAAGAAAGAAAATGCAAATTTTCTTTTATTGATGTTTCTAATAAAAGAAAATTACGATCAAATTTCCCTTTATTGCTGTTTCTAAAAAAAGAAAATTACGATCAGATGACTAATTGATTATACGAGCCGAAAGATCTTCTAAGGACAATTTATGCTTCTATTATATTTCAATAATTATTAATTAATTAAACCGTATCCGAGGATTTCATTTACCAGAATGATCCTCCCAGGTCAGTTAGGTCGTTTACCTTTAAAGGTATTTATCAACTGAGGTGTTCTCATGGGCAGGAGCAAAAACTTCAAAGTATTAGATAGCCTGGAGACAACGAAACTAGTAGAATGTCCACGGTGCGAGTCCTAGATTGACAGTCTAGCGATTAGATGAGGTGGAAACTTTTATTGGTAGTGATCTTGGGGTATGCCGAGGATTAATTCCAAGACACGCGACCCTTTCCCTGGATATTTTTTTGGAGGCTTCGGAAATCTAAAGTTTCTGTGTTTCATCAGTTTTCAGGGATTTTTAAACCTTTTGCACGGTTCCGCCCTAAAAGATCTTATGTGATATTTTGTGGAAAAGCTTAATTATTTAGTTTTCAAAGATAATATATGCCTACGAATAAATTAAATTGGGTGAATTTTTAGAAATGTCTATTGATATTTCATACTGAACACTACCAAAGTTAAGTAAGTTATATACAGATCATGGATGCATATCCTTAGAAGTGTGAATGATACATCTTTTTATCAGCATGTAATGGTTGAACAGACGACCCCACTAGCTGTAGATTCTTGCCACCTCAAAACTCGGAATCCAGCAAAGACTTTCGATAGCTAACAGGTCTTTGATTTACAGCCCACACTTTACACCCACACACCCACACACACATCGCCATTTACACAATAGATAATGTCTAAGCATGTCGTCCAAACTCCAAAGTCTCTATATTATCTTGCTGTATTGCATTTCTTGAAGTTTATACTTCGAAATGACTTATATTATTAAAGAAGGGTCAAGGTAAATCTTTAAGGAGATTGATTTGCGAAGCCAAGGTTTATATATCTTCATAAGTACCTTATTGCTCATTAAGTAAACCATTGATTTTGTACGTTTATGGAAGCATAATCGTGCATATATTGATTATATGCTCAATTATGCAATTGATATCCTTTTTTTTGTTAATATCATTGTTTTTCAAAGTATTTAGTATTACTTCATGTGGTAATTTGCTCACTTGACACCATAAACAAATGGAAATCAATATATCGTATACACATGGGTTGTAAAACATTAAAATAATTGCTCTTTGTATGAATCGAATAATATATTCGTCAAAGGACTTTAGAATGTGGTATAGTTACGACATTTATGTCATTGTTCTGCGAAAACGACTCTCCCATCGACTATCGATGATTACTGTCTTTTTTTTCAGATGCTGTACTAAGGATGCGTAAATCTCAATAGATGTATTAATTTTAACTAGTTCTTTTTTGTTGAATATGTAAAAAGATTACCTTGCGTTACAGACCACCCCATTGCTTTAACATAATTTTATGCTAAATTCCTACATATCAATTATATTGGACACCTATAGAATATTTTATTAGGGATTTTTATACAGTAAAGTGTTTATTAGTGTTTAATTAATCTAAAAACATCAACAAATACGACTCATACGTACATTTATACCCAAATTAACATGATAAGGTTGTATGTTACCGCGAACATCATAAAGCGTAAATTTACGACTATTAGTATTAACAGTGTTTCTTTTTACACCTTTTTCATTTCAGTTTTCTTATGTCTCCTTGTCCCCTGCTTTGTCAGATAAAGCTAGATTCCCCCGATTCTTCCGGACCACAGCCCCAGACGTCGTAGTTAACCCAGCGAGAATAGATATCTTTAAGCAGTTTGGCTGGACCAAGATATCCACTATACATCAGTCATTTGAACTATTCGCTGCTGTAAGTATTTGCAAACTTATTGATTATTTTAACACCCAAGTAGTTCTAACATATATTAAAGGCACAATATCTCAGACTAAAATACACTATTATTATAGACGTTCAGACCATGCACAATAAAAAGTAGTCTTACACCAAAATGCAGTAGAGGCCTAAAGTTCACATACTTTTTATTGATTTCACCCCGCTATTTTTGTTGTTTTACAATCGTCTATCAACTATTGAAAGGTAACTCATTTCTGTCCATGAACGTCGCGGTCAAGATTGTATTAAACATAGCATATTTTTTGATTCGTCTAAATTACAATCTGATTAAAATACAGATCTATATTTCGTTTCGTTTTTTTATATATATATACTTTCGATGGCCTGCACTATATGAAGATCTGACAAGTTGTAACCGAAGGTCGTCTCAGGGGTCGTTCGAGCGCCTTTTGACCCTATGATGTCAGACATTGATTAATCAATGAGCGTTGATGTTTCTAGTGGTTTATCCACAGTTCCGTCCATGGCACGCCAAGAAGTCGCCGTAACTGACCGTTTCATTGGCTTATCCCTCACTTCAACCAAAACGCCGGTAATATAACAACTCTTCCAGATCCTAGTGTAGTAAAGACGAATAAAACGAAATTTTGAACTATAAAAACGAAACGAAATAGGATCTGTGTTTTAATTAGATTGTCTAAATTACCAATTCATGAACACTTTTAATTCCTTACATTTAAATAAGAATTAAATTTTATTGCTCAGCTGAAGCATTGTGGCATTTTAAATTCACGCCCAATTCGTAAAGTTAAAGAAATAACATGTACACCAATTAATTTGTATAAAGTTTATCTAAAATCCAATAATTTTATCATGCAAACTTAAAGGTCACTGGAAAATCTTCATAAATATTTGAAATAATGCAAATAATTATGTCAACATATTCTTTCCATAAGTATAACACGAAACCGATTGTCAACATTATCTGCAACAGGTACACTGTTATATGTATATTTACAGTTATAAGTATAGTAAAAATACAGTGCAGGATTTGTCAAATCACATGGTTTGTTAACTTACATTTAAAACGATGTCATAGGTACTTGAATTATTTTAAAAACAAAAATGAAGCTTTTCCGTTGACCTTTAAATATCGTACCTTGTAAACTTCCTGTTACCGCGTAATTAGCAGATCGATTTAAAATAGTCTTAAGACATATAACCGTCTTCGTGAGCTCGGTTAGTGTACGGTATATAAACAAAAAACGCCCATAACGCAGAGTTTTACATACAAAGATAATTACTAAATAATTGATATACCATGTTTTTAGCCCTTCTTGTGATAATTGAGTAGGATTAAGTAGCAAATTAATCATGAAGTGGCAATATATATTTCCGTTATATTGATATCAATAGATTTCAGTGAACGCTGACTTGAACCTGGTTGCTTTCTAATGGTCAGATAAAGTATGACCACTATGAAATACATCAAGAACTGTAATAGGAAATTCCTAGATGACCAATTCCTGCATATAATGTCTTTTTAGTCCATTTGACTATTGAAATGGTTTCTCTCGTCCGCCAGTCCGTTCGTCCATCACAATAACCCTGCCCCTAAATGCGCGACTATAATATAGGTGTTTATTAAGTGAATGCTTTGATGGAGTTCGATGATGAGTATTTTTGCTTCGGCTCAGCAATTTGATTGGTTGATGCTTTGCGACACAATCACTTTGATTCTAAGAGAGAGGAAGAGAGAGAGAGAGAGAGAGAGAGAGAGAGAGGGGGGGGGAGAATAAACTTGAATAAGTTCGATAATGAGCAGAGGTAAAGAATTTGCTTGGTTATGGCCTAAATTGAAATAACACCAGATCCTTGCAATAGCTATGATTTAATGAAATGCTTTTGTTATGAAATGCAATTATTATTTACAGGTAACAGACAATCTAAATATATTATTGAAAGAGGCCAATGTAACAGTGGTGCGATCTGAAATATTTACCGATAACCCATCGTTACAAGTTAAAAATCTCAAGGTAAGAAGCAGCATCTTTGTTTCCTAGAATCGATGCCGCGATTCTAGCCATCCCTGTCTGTCTGTTTCTTAAATATGACTAGGTTTTTTTTTTAAAAAAAATGGCTGTGATTGTTCGGATATTCCGACCGAGGAACCACACCAAGAGTCAGTGTCCCACGGCGATTTTTCGGAGAAATTCTATCAATTTCATGAAAATCTTGTACACGCACTAAAGGTCAAATAATGTAAACGGCAGTCCAAATTCACCGTTACTATCCCCAGTCTCCGAAACCTTGAATGTATCAAAGTTTTCGAGATTTTTGAGAAGTCAGAATTGTATTATCGAAATTCGGAGTTGCCCATCAATATCGAATGTAGGAATTGGCCCTAATCCTGAAAACTTTGTAGTTACAAATAACGCGACCTACTCATGATATATATGCAAGTAAAATAGTAAGCATATATATTTTACTGTAAAGTACCCAATAAACCTAAGTAGATCTAATGATGATATTAATAACCGAAAAGAAAAAATATGTAAATGAATAAAAAATAGAACACCATATTAACGATCAATAGATAAATGGTTTGTTGAAAAAACACTTTAACTGGGAGTTTACATAATGGCAATTAATAAACCCGTTAGACAACATGATGATTCAATACTTGACTGTTCCATAAAATCAAAACAGACAGCCAGCTAGATACTTGCCACCACCCCAGCGGCTAGGTTCCTTCAATTATCGTTTGTTCTCAGGAGCAACGCGTTAGATTGGGTCGAGACTCGTTCTGACATTATATCTCAAAAGGCACGACTGTGTCTTTATTCATTGTTGAAAGGGATTTCCCATTAATTTGTTTTTCGACCTCATGTTCCTAACGTATAGTGGACATGCCCCTCAAACACGACTGGCTCTTTTAGCAAGTTCCAAGGAAACATTTTTCGGTTGTAGCGAGCGTTATCCCCCACTAACGAACGAACGGGCAATGGGTTAGCATTGGTTCAATGAGCATGTCCTATAATCCACCCAGATCCTAGTATCGCATAGATCAGTAATGAATGGAATTTGAATCAATAGGACATGAAGGATGATCTACGCCCTGGTTTTAATCCTAATCAACTGTTACATGAACAACTTAAATACGTAATATCGCAAAGTGTCGGGCAAATGTTTACTTAACACTTTGCTATCAGACACATGTATTATTTCTCAGTGCAGTAATAGATAAATATTCAAACAGGTCCATTATTATCTAGAATAACTTTAGAAATTACATTCGACAAGAAGACTACGGCCACCGCCCGACCTATGCTAATCGATAGTTTGTGTTAATTTAAAAAAATCATATAGAAACCTTGCTTTGTAATATGAACCCATTGATAATCATATAAAAGACTTACTTATTCCCTCTAGACACAGTCACGAAGTACATGTCTGTTGTTTTCTAATGTTTTTAGTTGCAGGTTATAATTATAAATAATTTAACAAAATTGTGTGGGGTCTTATTGAAAACTATTGTTATTATTTTGTAAGAACCGCGTTCCACAATATGAATTCCTTTGGCAATTAGTTTATACTGGAAACAATGACTACACAAATGTGTATGTTCATGTAGCGTCTAATAGCTAAGTATAATATGTTATTTGAGGGAGAACTTGTAAGTTTCTTCAGTTATAACTTGATTACATAAATATTCAATTAAACAATACTATCATTAGATATAACCATCCTTGGATAACCTGAGTTATTAGCCGAGTAATAAAAATGTCTTTGTTTCAACGTGGATATGACTTGTACGACAAGAACAGGTTGGCGAATTAAATGGATTTAATAAATAAATCTCCTCAAGGGTGTCGTCAAGTGTATTTTTCAACATCAAACATCATTTGCGGCGTCTGTGAATGCTGGGGGTGGGGGAATTCCTAAAAGACGGAATTAAAAGAAATCAAAATTAAATGAAATAGGTTTAACGACCTACTGTTCTGCTCTGACTGGGCTAATGAAGACGACACAAAAATAAACAGATAGTAATATAATTTTACAGTGTATGCCAAATTTCCATTTTTTGATCGATGCTAATAAGTAATTATTCCTGTTGATTTTGTTCCTCATCCATAATTTACCCCAGGACATACTCGCGTAAATTATGGGTGAATCCCCCTCCCAACTCCTGCGCGCACCCTCCACGTCCACCACTGGAAAACCCTGACCCTGACTTAATATTTTTTATTAGCTGGATGTAGCTATACATATATAATATGAGATATATCAAACTGTTAATTTCTGATTAATAAAAAGAATATATCAAACTTTTAATTTTTGATTAATAAAACTGGTTTTCTTTTAGATAATGACACCTTAATCGTACTAATTTAATCTAGATTTAATGTTGCACTTTCAAAATCAGTTGTCGTTTTGACCTTTGTGTTATTGTCTATCTCTAAAAGCTTATGATGCTACAATTAGAAAGGAAATCCATTTAATGTTTTTTGTTGTTGTAGTTAAGCTAATGAATCATTAGTAGAATACGTTTCCTTGTTGGAAAAGGGTGGAAGGAGTTGGGCTTAATGTGTGCTCTTTAGATCATAAGACCTGTCTAACTTTTCGATGCTACTCCTGTGTGTTTACATCACAGTTTGTGGGTCTGCCTAATTTAGTTTCCTCTGGGTACTCTGTATATAGCTATGGCGTATGTGTAAACACAATATATAAAATGTAAACCATAAGTAGAAGACACGTTAATTAAACTGAATCTGAACTAACACGCACAACACTGTCAGAACATTAAAAGAGTAAGTTCCACCGAATAATTTTTGTAGTAAAACAAATATCGCATTTTTAAGTTAAATGATTAGGTTGTCGTTTTTAGGTGGTTTGGGGCCGTTGGTTAGGGTGGGGTGGGTTCTTTTTTTGTAGCTGCGTATTATTATTACAACATTCCTTCCATTTAATAACCTACGTATAGCATTAACATATATTCTTGTTATTAATATGACATCGATTTGACAATCCGTGATATATATAATATTTTGAAATGTTGTCATTAATTTACATTTATACAGATGTACGATTTATTGTTATAATAGCCATCAAATTTATCATCATAAAATAATATATTACTTCCTTGATAACACAAAGATCAACGTTACAAGTTTATATATATTCACTTGTTCCCCAATTTGATTTATTGTTTAATAAAGACAATGTTTTTATGCAAACCAGAAAAAAACCCAAAAGCCATTGCCAAATTTATAACATGATAAATATTTTTTATATTTTGGTTTAATTGAGAAAGTCACATAAAGTCACAGTATGGCACCATGGGGCACTTATCCTGTTCCTGGCAGCAAAATCTTCAATGTGCCTCGGTAGGACTTGACCTTGCCTTGTGTAGAAAACTTCAAACTCCTTTTTAAATTCAAAGTGTCTTTATAGGTTATAATGATATTTTCTACAACAACAATGCAGCAAAGGGCTTCTAGATAGGTATTTAAACTTTACACAAGAGTAAAACCTATGATGTCTACCTATTTCGCCCAACACTGCATATTGTCTCCCGGCCTCGAGCCAGAGGCTGTGGGTACGTCCTTCTAAGAACCCTCCATGGTGCCTCTATCCCGGCCTTGAATGATGTCCGAGTATACCTTAGAGTCCTTAAGGTGGCGAGAACCCCACGCTTCTTGATAAATCTACATGATGTCTGTATCCCAATCTCGAATGATGTCTAAAAAAACTTAGTCGAACTCTTTCTTATAAAGCGGATACGTGCATGAGTCATAGACTGTGCCCCGGGAAATTGGCCAGTAGTTCCTTTATCTGATTAGCCACCTGTACAGAAGCGATCTTGGATTTAAACACAATGTTCTAGTATGGACACCAAGGAGGAAGGGACGGATGGAGGGGTCCAGTTTTCTAATATTAGAGACCATACCAGACCATGACGTCATTGTCGATTTTAATCTGCAAGGTACCTAACTGACCCAAAATTAACTGTCATCTATTTGTAGGTAACGACTTCAAACATTAAGCAGAACACCATGATAGACTCTATAATAGTATTACATGTACAAAAATTTATCTAATTCAACACTTTATTTTCAGCTAAATTAAAGAGGTTGAAGGACTTTTAAGTTGCATTGTGGTCCGACTCAAAGGAAAATATTCGGGAAGTAAATCATTCGGTGATGCACCATGATCGTGTAATTTAATGTTGCTGCATTATTGTTTACACAGAACGAACTCTAATTATAACTGTGTGTGTTTCAGATAAATGATGCCAGGATCATCGTTGGTGGTTTTTATGTAGACAAGGCTAGACAAATATTCTGTGAGGTAAGTAATTGATGAACCACCTTCCAATCTACCTTTTACTGACATTTTAAGTATCTAGTCATTGATACGAAGAACGTAGATCTTGCGTGTAAATCGAACCTAAAGGTTTCCTTGAAAGGTGGAATCGGGGGTGAAAAAAAGCCATTGGCAGTAGGGATTCCTAATGACGGTGAACGGGCAAAATTCCCCTCATAGACCTGCATTAGCCAGGTTTGTGCAGAAATGTAGAACCTTAAACCATTGCGTTATTTCATCGGCTAATCGAGTGGTATCATTTTACAGTTGAGAAAGACTCTAAATATACATACTTTGATGTAAAATGATACTAATTGTCCGTTATATAATACCATTTAAGAACCTCATTACATAAAGGATATACTGATTACTTTTCTACATATCATCTAATTTTATCCCATGTCTACATATCATCTAATTTTATCCCAGGTCTACATGCATATAATTAAATTCCAGGCATATAAAATTGGATTGTATGGACGTAAATTTCTTTGGATATTAGTTGGCTGGTATGACGATAATTGGTGGATGACTCCGGATCCAAATATAGATTGTACACCTGCACAGTTAGCTGAGGCCATTGAAGGTTACATAGCCGTTGATCACATTTATCTCAACCCGAAAGACTCACCGTCAGTATCGGGCATCAAACCGAGTGAATTCCTTGATATATTCAACAACAGGACCAACAACGAAGATCTCTTTGGCAAGAAATTAAGTCCTTTGGCGTATGACACCGTCTGGACTATTTCTTTGGGGTTAAATGAAACTCTAACAGAACTAATGAATAACGGTAAATACCAGACCAGTAACAAAATGTTCATATTACATCAGATATTGTAACGTCACAAAATGCGCCTGCTCTTTTAAAGGGGCTAAACCTCTTTGATTCAGCCCCATGACGTACTAAATTATGTTTACTAATTTTAGTTTCATGTGCCCACAGCGACGCACTCACAATTGGTTTTATGCCAGCAATATCTTTAGGGAAATCAAATCAACGTAAAATTTCCAATGAAATGGGCAGTTTTATAGTTGACCCAAATCTGAGCCTGCCTTCATTATAACGTCCGTGTATCCTCTGGAAGCAATTATTTCTCAACCATTCATCACACTTTCGTCTGTTTTTTAAATATTATTTTAGGTAGCTTGAAAAGTTTGAAGAACTTTACATACACGGATGATGACTTTGGTAATGCTATTCTACAGAATATGAAAAGGGTTAACTTTCAAGGAATAAAAGGTCCCATATTTTTTGACGAAAATCATGATGCTGTGTCTTTGCTGCAGATAATTAGAATTCAGGGTAAGTTTATTGTTCTGTGTGGTAGGTCAAGATAGCTGACAGTTTGATAGCCATCTTCAAATTTAGTTTTAAATAGGCATGTGTGTATATCGTAGCGAAGACCTGTGTTAAAGTAGTTACTTTGACATTTTTAATATGGTAATCATGCAGCTCTGTGTTTTAAGACCATGTTAAACAGATCCGACATGATTATAAATTGTTATTGAATCTACGCGGGTTCGACCGTTTTAGAGAGAGAGGGGGGGAGAAAGATGGGTTTAACGTCCACTCGACACAAACTAGGTCATTTCGGGACTAACATATGGTTTAATTTTATTTCAATAATTCGTTTGCGCGTAGGGGTCTTTAGCAGTGGGAGGAAACCGGAGGACCCGGAGAAAACCCACGCGGTTGGATACCGTTTTAGGCACTTTTGAGACTAATATACAGCCATTTCCTCAAATAACTTCTTATTGTTGATAACGGTGCTCTAGGATTATCACAGACGTTCTTCTAGGCATACACAAGCAAGACAGACAATTATTTTTACAGGTGAAGGTCGAGCAAATGATTGCAATCGTGATCTTGTAGCTAAAATCGTTCTCTGAACACGGTATTCAATCAAAGAGATTTCGTCCATTTTACATGTATATGAATACATGTAGTATAATTATAAATGTCATATCAATTAAATATTTTTTAAATGAAAGAACAGATAAAATCTAGTGAAACTCAAATAAAGTAGATTATTTAGAAGATAACAAAAACAAAAGGTATGACCCAATCGATGTACATCAAGGGGAAATATTAATAACATGTTTGATAGGATAGAGTAATGTCAATATGTTCTAACCATCATTATCTAGAATTGTCTATTAAAATACTAACCTTCGTATAAAAAGAAAGGAATATTTTCTGTTAACGTGGCTAACTATTTTATATCCATCTTGCGATTCACTTTAATTTGTTATGGTTTATTTCTGTCTTGTAAGTGGGTAAGACGCTGGTTCGCTAGCCTGGAGGTCGAGAGTTCGATCCCTGCATTGGCCGAGAAATTTCATCCAGATTTTCCGACCTGGTTCCCTTGTCAGTAATGCAGGACTTGGGACATGACAAGGTCAGCTGTCTAGTCGTTCGGATGGGACGAAAAACCGAGGTCCCGTGTACACATTGGCGTGCACGTAAAAGATCCCTTGACAGTTGGAATTCAATATAAAAGTAGGCCATGGTGCCGCTGCCTTCGAGCAGTACAGTAGGACGTTAGACCCCATTTCATTTAATTTCATTTGGGCATTAACCATGACATTGTACTCTCTAAAAATTATTGTTCAAGGCATACATGAGGTTAAATTAACTTAGTATTCATTTGTATTAAATACATGTAGTGTACGTAGTTGATCCTAAGAGTAAACCAAACTCAACATTATATACATTATAAATATCATGTGGACTTTCTAAAATGGGGAGAAATATCAATACCCTAATAACGAAGACGTATCTGGTCTTCTGTAAGCGTAAGTATACCATGTCTCGCACACAATTATCGCCACAACAATGAAATCGTAGGTTTTAAATTAAAGTGCCAGAAAATAAATATATCAATAAAATATCAATACTAATAGCACTTAATTACGAACTTTGTAATGACGGAGGTACAATATTTTGAAATCGGAGTTGAGCTTCTCTCGGTAGTCAACAATTGACTCTTGTAGCTAAGAAGTCATCATAAAAGATACAAATTCTGGTATAACGGTTCAGCTAAGAAACATAAACCCCGTAAGCTGGAGAATGGGTGAGTTACTGCTAATAAATAGGTAATTAACGATTGGAACTTAAAATCAGCCCTTTGTCTTAAAGTTGAATCAGTAGACGGTTGCAGTCGGTAACCATAGGATATTACTAATTACTTGCTCAAATATTCCACACCCAAATTCAACATAGATGTTACAAATATAACACACCGTCACATCATTTCACATGCATCTTAACTGTATAGTAAAGCAGCAGTTAATTGACATAAAAACAATTGCAACCATGTTCTTTTAATTAAAGGAAAGAATTTTATTGTGTATCGTGAGTGTTATATTCTTGTACTGTTTTTCGATTTGCGGTCTGCGGTGACTATGTGGTATTTTCTCTTAAATCACAGGAATCATTACTATTGTTTCACACAATGCTCCCAAACGCAAAAAATATCGGCCCGTGTACACAAAAAAAAATTGCACGAGATGCACATGAAAAACCCAATATTCACGTGCAGCATTGTGTGTGAGCCCTTTAAAAGTATGTTTTTGACTTAATGTGCAATACATGAACTGTGAAACGTCAATCTGTCGTAATTTGTTGTTGGACGTGTGAAGGAATCGAGCTAGAGATGCCGAGACTTACTGAAAATCAACGACAGCGTGCGTAAGAGCCCGTGGAGGACACACGCGCTACTGACATCTGTGTCGTACTTTTGGTTTTGACCCCTCTAACTTTGTACCGTTGATTACAGATTAAACATCCATAAGTGTACAAATGTGTTTTTATTGATGTGTTCCCATTTGAATATTGTTCACAATAAGAAGCAAAATAAATAAGATATGTTTACAGGATCATTTTGTTATACGAAAAACTAAGTGATGCGTTTTCCATGGCGCTCAGTATATATTTTCAAAATATAAAAGTGTCGATTAAAGTCAGTTTCCTTTGTTGATATAAAGTATCAACATTGCCACCAATTATTTGACCTCGTAGGAGTAACTTGTGAGTGTTTATTGACAACGGGTACGATAACTTAGTGGGTAAGGCGGTGGTTAACTAACAGGAGGCCCGGGGTTCAAAAGTTCCCAGAGGTTTGTCCTTGTCAATGGTAAGGGTGGAGGGTCTGGTAAGGGACAGCGTCTTGTCTTTAGGATGGGACGACAAATCGATGTCCCGTGTACACGCTTGTGTCCATGTAAAATGACTCTTGGCAGTTTTCTCCATAGCACACTGCATGGCGCATTTCTGTCTTCATTAACCCGGTTGTTAGGACGTGAAACACCATTTCATTTTGAATTTAAATCGCAACATTAAAATGTATTCGCAATTATTTAGAAATGGAAAAGAAGATATTGTTATAAAGCTGGTGACTTTATATTTCAGGTGGACAAAAGGTTACTATTGGTATTTATGATCCAACATTGACAACTGCAGTTAAAATAGAATGGCTACCGAATACACCAGTAGTATGGGCGGGTAATTATTTTAACAATCCAAGACCAAAAGAAATTTTCACAAGCGTCCGCTGAACTCTTTGAAAACCATTCAAAGTTATAATAGATACGATTCGTAAGGAAACTGAAAACGTGTATCTCAGGGATGGATTGACAGATATGTCTCAACGTTTGTTTTCAATCAAATCTCGGCAAATTTAAAGATATTGCTTGATTACCAAGACACAAAATTCGATGGACCAGTAAGTTCATGTGACCCGAAACCCTACTTCAAACAAAATATGTTATCTGTCAGTATAGTAAAACCGAGATGTAATTGACATTTGGTTTTAATTTACACTGGTTCATAAACATTAACAATTCAAACCTTACAAGTCTGAAGTTCTTAATCATCATTTATTTTCCTTTCAGATGGCAAACCCCCAAAAGACTCAACCAATATTCAGTTCCAGACTGTCGTTCTATCATTTTCCATTTATGTGACATTTTGCTGTATGGCGTTAATTGGCATTTGCCTTGCCATCATGTTCCTGGTTTTTAATATTGTTCTCAGAGATGTGAGGTAAAGATAGACAACTAGATGTAATTAGATAACATACTTTGATTGATTGCTGTAGACACACCTCATTTATTGCAATCGACTGATCTTTATCTGATACAGTTTCTAATTCTAATTTATGATCTAAACTAGATGGTCAGTAGAATTTGAAATGAAACAGGGTTTAATGTCTTACTTTCCTACTCCAGGCGGGCTAATGATGACGTGCATACGCCATGTAGTTTGCTATGGGGAACATTTTGCCTGGACTGCGGCGCAACGGTCTGGTCTTCTCTTGAATTCTGTCACGGGCTCCTTTACCCGTGTTCCAAAATGTACACGGAGCCTCAGTTTTTCTTTCCACTCGAAGGACTAGACACTGTTGCTTGTCAGGCCCTACGTCCTAAACCACTGACAGTTAGAAAGGGCGACCCCCGCCGAACAATCCCGGAACTCCATGTTTGGGAGCCAGTGTTTTGCTCATTGGCCCACCACGATTCTTATATAATTTGAATATTACATGGTATAGCTTCCTGATACAAAACCTTCAATATTAATATTTTTCAGGGTGGTTAAGATGTCATCTCCCAGACTGAATAACTTCATACTCGCTGGTTGTATTATGATCTATATCACAGTTTTTCTGGAGAATATAACTGTTAACCATAATAGCGCTATGTGTCAGGTAAGAACACTCTAGGATTTGTTTACATGGGCGGGTAGGGATATGAGCAAATTTAGAAGTTTACGGTATCAAATAGTGCCATCTAATCAACGACATACCTACCGATTGTGGGTGAAATCTGTCAAGGATTAGAAA